AAACTATACTATAGAAGCTTGGACAACCTAAGAGTCCTAAATCAGCTATCCTAAAACTTATAAATAAATTTACAAAAAATATTTACATCCAGAAGTGAGTTAGTAATTTTCCTATTACCTCTGTAGTCTAAATCAGGATGAGTGACAGCATTCCAATCCCCCAGTAAAACTACCTGTCTCAATGATATCACATAGGGGTTGATCCAATGAAAAAATTGGCAGTTGGACACATAAAACCCAATGAGAAAATGCTTTCTCTCTTATGTTAGTATCAAGCATGCACAGTCTGCCTGAAAGATCAGCCAAGATAAGTGCACAGTTATCTTTAAAAAGTGGCTTATCAGCCAAGAGACATCTTTCAAGTATTTATTAAAATATGCTGAGACAAAACCTCTTTGCCAGCAAATTTTTATAGTTATTTCCAAGATGTATCCCATGTACACATCATATAGCTATACTGAGAGGCTAAAGGTCATGAGTGGGTATTACTCTTTTTGACCTTAGCCCTTGTCTATTCACAGTAGTTAGCCAGAGTGCCATGCCTGATTTTCTGGAGTTGATCAACTGAAACATACTCACCAAGAGTTAGGGCACCAATAGATTTTCCTATAAATTATTGACACATCTCAATCTTGATGGTACTGTCTTGGGAGCTCTTTCATTACTATTAGTAGTGAAGATAATGGTCACAGTGAAGACAGGATACTGGTGGAGGCAGCCGCTTCCTCTGTTTTTTTCTTCTTATGGTCTAGTGTATTCTTTAAAAGCAGAATCTTTTTTCTCACATCACTGATATGACTGCCGCAAGTTTTAACAATTGAAGCATATGACCATGTTGTCTCTCCAAGAGGACTGTTTCTATCCTTGAACCTGAAACCCAAAAGAGAGATCCTGCTGTATGGACCTTTTTGCTGTCATTTTCCTACTCTTCTTCACAATTCTCTGGTAGTGTTACAATCATTTTTGCTGATGGAAGAGTCTAGAGGATGGAAGATGTCTAGCCAAATTTTCTGGCCAGAGGTAGTAAGGCTATTTTGGTGTCAGTGGTTGGTAGCAAAGAATCATATTGTTCAAGAGTATTTTTTTTCTTCCTGGGAAAGCTACTGTTGGATTACAACCACCTGACGGTAATCACAGGTATTGCAATATTTGAAAGGCTATCTTTTCTCTTTGACTTGCAGTGCCACAAGTCATGTTTCCTTTCACTCCAATAGAAATGAGGCACGTAAGCACTTCAAAGATATAGACTAAAGATTGTATTGAACTGTTTATAACTTCAACTTTGTTCCTTTCTTTATTCTTTTATCACACATCTGGCTAATACATTTATTAATCGTTGTTTGTTTGAATTCCATGTTTTGTGTATTTTTAACTGGACTCACATGAGTCTGCCAAATATTGTCTGCAGGACATATCTACCAGGAGGCATAAAATGATAATACTTTCCATTCCTGTAACACTACAGAGATGTAACCAGGCTCTCTGCAGTACCAGCACATTGGTCTCCTATCTGACAAAATTACTGGCAACCTCTAACCTTCAACCTCCAAGCAGTTGGGAATCATGTTGAAACCTTCTCTAGTATATTGGAAAAACCTAGCTGAATAGGTACCCAAAACCAAGCTAGGGATCTTGAGAACTGCTACCTGGTCTTAGAGCGGTCTTTGTATTTGACACAAAAAATTCTTTATTTGTTAATTCCTTCTTGGTTAGGGCTATATGGTCTTCTTACATGGTGCAGGAAATTTGTCCTGGCTTTCCCACAGGAAAGGGTTGAGTTTAAAAAATTGCGACAAATATTGAATAAAAACAGCAAGATTAGAGTGGACAAACTCTCTCTTTTAGGCAGATGAATAAAGAAAGACTCAAAACTTTTGCTCAGTATGTAACAATAAAAGAAGAAAATGTTTATTTATAAGTACAAAAAAAGGGTAAAGGGACAAACACAATTAGGAAAGAAAGAAAGGGAGAAGAAAAAGTCCTTTAATTTTAAAGGAAGAGAAAAAGTTCATAACAGAAAAAAGGTTGCTCAAAATATTTCTTTGAGCACCTAAAAGTTCTTTAAGCAAGTAGAATTTTGTTAAGGGTTAGAAACACTCACAGTTTTCTTCAAAGTTCTTGCAGAGTAGGAATATGTCAGCGGATAGGAATTTTGCAGTTGAGTGAGTTCATAGGTCGACAACAGAAGTCTTGTAGGTGAAAGGAGGCAGCTTTCAACTGGTCTTTAATTGTGGGCTGACATTTGTTCTCAACAGCCATTTAGTAGGTAGTTCTTTGTTGAAACTGGTTTCAAAGTTGACTGGTGTTCTCTATTGCTGACCTCACAGACGGTGGTCAAATTCTCACTGCCAAATAGGCAAAGATTCTCTAAATTTATGGAGATTTGGGAGGTTCAGAATTGGGGACTTTTCCCTCCAAAATTGTTGTACAAATTTCCTGGCCCCTTCATTGGTCAGAAAATATATTCTTACCTCTGATAACAATCAAGGCTTTGGGAGCCGGTTTTGAAAGTAAGGGAAAAGCTGTGAGGTTTCCCCCAGACTTTATGGCACCATGGAAAGAATAATGGTGGTGGAATTCCTTTTTATATTTTCTAGCTCTCTCGTTAGTCAGAAAATATATTCTTATCTCTAATAGGAATCAAGTCTTTGGGAGCTGGTTTTGAAAGTAATGAAAAAGGTTGGAGTGAGGATTGGAAAAATAGGCTAGAATGTGAACTTGTAAAATATTGTATTTGTGGTTCTCAAATTAAATTCCAATAATGGGCAACAGAATGTCCCACAAGGGAAATGATTTTCCATTTGCTACTTGCAAAGCTGACACATTTATGCTTCATTTGATTATGTAGTCCTTTGTAGATTTGTCAATCTTATTTGTTGTTCTGTCAACCATGAAATTATTTTTTGATGCCATTTAATTGGGACAGATCGACAACAAACCCATCCTCTTTGACTAGATGGGTGCACTGTTTAGCTTGCCATACAAATTCTGCCATATTGATTTAACAAAATGGTGGGGTATTCTATGCAATAGAACAAGAGGCTCTACTTGCCTTTTCCATAGTTTTTTTTTTCTATCATGCATCTGTTTTTCATTCTTTTTCATTTTTAGATGTTCTATCATTGGTCTTTTCTTCCTTTTTAGTCATCTTTTTCAGGTGTTCTGAACAATGTCTTTATATTCTTGTCCTAGGGTTGCCAACTACTTAAAATGAAAATGCAAGATGAGGGAGTTGGGATCACCTAACCAGCAGTTAGTGGTCCCTGTGGAAAGGTTCCCAACCATCATTTGTGGATCCACAAAGCTGAATTAAGTTACTTTGGTATTTTTGTGCAATAGGAAATGTGAAGGGGGAAGAGAAAGATAGAGGGAAGACAAATAAAATTTGATGGTCAGTCTTTACACAGAGAGCAATATTTTTATTTTTAATCTTGCTACTGTAGTGTTTACATCCAGCTGACAAGTTTTAATGTAGAGTTAATCAGAAAGAGATCTAATTTGAAAACTGGCTCCAAATTTTATAGAAAGCTAGTTAGTCACTGGTTACAGTTAAAACTAAAAGCCAACAATTGTTGATGTTCAAATGTTATATAAATAATTTTTAAAAAAATAGAAATAAATTTGATGTCTTTAACTCAGTACAGTTAAAAAAAAAAGAAAAGAAAAGGTTTTGATTGCCGTTTACCAGGCACATTCAATGGAATAAAGCCTAATTGACTAAAAGAGTGATGTGATGCAATCTCATCACAATATTATGACAAGTATACACTACTTCAGGCCTTTTTGAACAATTGGATCACAATTGAACTATTGTTACTACTTTTTATTGTACTTAGATTGAATAGTTGATAATTAATCTAGCAAAATAATAGGCGAGGTTATCTTAGATTATTAGTTATTAGTTTTTTTTATTTATTTGAATTCGTTTTTCGCCATCGTAATTATCAGCGATGTACGTGCGTTTATTAATTTCATAGTCGACTATTTTTAATTCAAGTCGTTGTCTTCGTCCTTGTAAGCCCAAAATAGTTGTCAGGCAAAGAAGTGTTTTGCAATAATTGTCTCTTTTTATTAGACTTGTTGATTACGTTTAAATATAAATTAAATATAAACTTAAAGTAAACTAACCGTTATAACCCGTGGCAACGTTTTACCGATCTTAATTAAATTAACTTAATTAAGTCATTCGTGAACTGAAAACAAAACAAACCCTCGCCTTTTTCTTTCATAAGAGTTTAAAGGCTTTTTAATTTTAAATATTTGACAAACTTTCTTCATTTTCGAGTTGATTTTTTTAATGTTTACATGCAAAAATTAACATTAACAACATTCGTTAAAAACTGATCATTATTATTATTACATTACATTCATTACAATTTTTACATCTCGAATCGGCAATGTAGTTAAGAAAAATAAATGATTAAGTTACACCCTTTCTTGTACCATTAAAATTATGAACGATGCACCATTGCTTCTGAAATAAAGTATTTAAAATCCTCTGGATTAAAGTTTGAATTAAAAAGGAAAAGATAAAATTTTAAAATAAATTATTCTCAAACCTAAGTGTCACATTTTATGATGAGTGGAGATCGTGTCGCTTATGACCTAAATAAAGCTAAAACAACAAAAAGTCATAATATTGTTTTTGTAAAAAAAAACGGCTTCAGAAAATGTTACCGTTACCTAGTTATTTTCAAGTGGAAATAATTCATAATTTGAAAATTTTAATTTGACAATTCTATAATTTCTTTCTATTGTGAAGGAAAAATTATGCCGAAAGCTAATTATTATTTTCATATTTGCAAGCGGCCCGTGTGAGCGTGAGTCCGGCGTAGAGACGGTGGATAGCGTGTCAGGAAGACGACAAGGAATGTTCCAGGCTGGTGTTACTCTTATCGATATTAATAATAATAAGACAGGACTATAGTGAAAGTATCCTTCTTTTTTACTTGCTTACTAATTTGATTGCTAATATATTTCTCGCCTGCTGACACTTCAAAATGAGCACCGAATTGTACAAGAAGGAAAAGTCCGTCAAATCCAAGCACAGCGCTTCTTTACTCAGCAACAATCTGACTGTTCAGTTGATGTTAGCTGAAAGTTCAGTTCGTTATGGAATTGTACACAAGTCTCTCGTCGACATTGTGACTGCTTCACTTGATGGATCCATGGTGACCAGCAAACAGATTTATTTTAAAGATCCTTCAGTTCCTGGTAGTTCGATGCAGACCGTCATGCAGGTAGTATATACACACATGCGTGTGTGTGACTGTGTGCGCGTTACGCACGCACGCACACACACACACACACACACACATGCATACAGAGCATTCATTCATTTTCAATCATCGTCTTTGCTAGTTGTTTTTAGCGCTAGATTATCTTATTTTCATAGTAAGAAAAAAGGACTGTTACAAAAAGGGTAAATTTTCTGATCTTTTAAAATAGTATACACATGGGATTTGGAGACTGATAAATGATGAACTGAACACTAACCAAATATTAGATTACGTACGTATGCATGTAGGCAACGCACACTGTCACATGTAAGTGCATTATTGTATAACAGTTCACCTGACACTAACTAGATTTTTTTTTATTTTCAATCAGAATTACATTTTAGTTACATCTACGCATAAAATGTATGATAATTTTATTTTTATGTTCATTCTTAAATCCGCGCAGTATTCCTTATTTAATTTTAATCAGTTGGGAATTGCATATTTATTTTAAAATTATCATTTACTTTTTTTGCAGCAGCAGTTGCAATATAGCTATTGGTTGTTCTTATTTAATATCGCTCTTTCTTTTATTATTTTTATATTTTATTAAAATGCAAATCCACTTTTAGTTGCATATTTAATATTTCTTTTATGGCGTTGTTTAAAAAACGATTTTCGTTTTTCATAAAATCATTTGCATTTCATGCTGATAGTTTTTAGATAACTGACTGACAAGTTCGATCTTGTGCAAAAAAAATTAAAAAAAATCCTTTTTGTTTTTTATTTTTATTATTTAATTTCATAATTCCTAAATTTGCAAAATTAATTACATTGTAGTAAAATACATAAAAGTCATTTATGAATTTTTAATGCATCGTTTGCATTAAAGACTATTTTTAAATAATTAGAAGGAAACAAAAACATATTGCTTCTTCTCCACTTGTTTTTGTTTGCATTTTTTTTAATGTCGTTGATGTTTCAACAACAAAGAAAACAATCTAATTTTTTTTGTGTGATTATTCGGCGTTTAAATTATCTTCCTTCAACAATAGGTGTAAATGTATATTCATTCGCACATCATGGTCGTACCTCTCGTGACTTTCTCAAACAATGTTTCAGTTGATTTTAATTTTATAATACATTAATTTTGGCCGTATTCTACCATAATGCACTTGTTATAAGGGAGACAACTGATATCGTCAATTCACAATATTATGGTTGAAAAGAAATGATTTTCTTTTCTGTTTTCCCCTCTTTTTATGGATGAGTAGAAGTTTTTGATGACAGCAAAAAGAGCGTCAAATGAAACTTGTCTGAAAGACAGAAATCATGACTAAGATAACTATTTTATTTTTAACTACTCTGAATTTGAATATTAGTTTTTATTTTTAATTTAATTCTAATTTTTATACTTCATTCAAAAAATTAAAATGTTGTTTTTAAGTAGAGATTTTTGTGGTAGGCAAACCTATCCATTCATTAATGGATGTCTTAAATGATTTAACCAATATTCTACATCAATCAATTAGGCTAGCATATTCAAACTCTAGAATGCAGAATGTATCATCGGAAAATAAAAAAAAAAATAGTTTTTCTCTTTCATTTCTTTTTTTCATTGCAAATGAGTCCCATGTCATGAGTTTCAGAAATATATCTTGTATGGTTTCCCAACTAGGAGTCTTGAATGTGTCATTGACATTTAACAATATTTTTTTTTTTTTTTATCTCTTACACTTTTATTTAGCCATGATTCTCGTTTTCATCAATGGCGAGAATAAAAATAAAAAAAAAATCTTTGAAGAAAGACGTACAGTTATATTTCAAAACTCAGATATTGATAGTTGCTTTTAAAAAGAGATTTTTTAATTGCATTTTTTGATTAAGCAAATAATAAAATCTATTTTTCTTCTATCAACATTTCAGGCAATTTATGCAATAACTTTGCCCCCTCAGGCTATATCTCAATCGTAATTGTTTGTAATTTAAAAAAAAATAATTTAGTGATATTATTTTATCACTGAATCCAAATTACATTTCTCATCTAAAACTCAGAATACTAAAAAAATAAAAAAAATAAATAGTAAAAATTCTATATTTTTGGCCTAGGTTCTGTTCAACTTCAGAATATCTGCACTCCACCTAGGATTCAAATCTCATCTCTCTTTATAGGTTTAGTCTCTAAAATCAGTACAAATATTTTATTTTATTTTATGTGTCAAGATAGAATCTTGTAGTCCTAAGAAGTAAAAATATAAGGGAAAAAAATTCATTTCGCTGATAAATGATGTACAAGCTTACCTTCAATAAATAGTCATTATCATTCCAAGAGCTTTTTGAAATATTGAACTCATTCTTTATGACTTTTGTTGTTAAATTTCAGCTGATCCATTCTCCAAACAAGTTTTTTTTACCCAGAAATGGTATCAAATATATACTGACCAGCTCAACTGGTACAACATTCATGGATTTGTATTGCTGAACAAGGATGTGTACATTAATAAATTGCTCATATTTTAATAACAAAAACAACATAAATAAAATACATTCAGTAGTTTGAACAATTTAAAACTAACATTACTTTTTTTTTTAGTATTCTGAGTTTCTGATAAAAAAATAAACACCTACAAAAGTAAAACGATGAAGTAATTTAATTAGATGGAGTTATAATTTCTTTTTAAGAAATTAAAAAAATCTTTTACAAATTATATTACTTCCCTCTCAGCTATCTTCAGTCCCACTTTTTAAACTGGATATCCTTCAATGAAGATAATCTGAAAGTGTGTATTTGTAGCGGGGATAAAGCATTGCTTCAGAAATCACCTAATGTTAATGGAAGAAAAAATATAGATTTTTATTTTTATTGCATAATCAGAAAAAGAAAAAGCTTGGTCAATATCTTTGAATAACTACAACGTTTTTCAAAGATTTTTTCATCACAGGTGAAGAAAATAAGGTTCAAGAGAGACTAGTGATTGCTTCTTAAATGATCATTGAAATTGTTAAAAAATCGCTCTATCACTGACAAAAAGAACTACAGACAAAAGTTAAAGTATCATGGTTACAACTAAGACTAAAAAAATGTAAGAATAGATAAAAATTAAAAATAAAAACTAATATTCAAATTCAGAGTAGTTAAAAATAAAATAGTTATCTTAGTCATGATTTCTGTCTTTCAGACAAGTTTCATTTGACGCTCTTTTTGCTGTCATCAAAAACTTCTACTCATCCATAAAAAGAGGGGAAAACAGAAAAGAAAATCATTTCTTTTCAACCTTAATATTGTGAATTGACGATATCAGTTGTCTCCCTTATAACAAGTGCATTATGGTAGAATACGGCCAAAATTAATGTATTATAAAATTAAAATCAACTGAAACATTGTTTGAGAAAGTCACGAGAGGTACGACCATGATACCTATTGTCGAAGGAAGATAATTTAAACGCCGAATAATCACAGAAAAAAATTAGATTGTTTTTTTGTTGTCAACGACATTTAAAAAATGAAAACAAAACAAGTGGAAAGAAAGAAGCAACATGTTTTTTTGTTTCCTTCCAATTTCCGAGTATTTAAAAATGGAATTTGATGAAACCCATGAAAGTAATGCAAGCGATGTAGTAAAAAATATTTAAGTTTAAATTACTTTTATGCATTTTACAGCAAAGGAATTAATTTTAAAAATAAAATTAAAATTAATAAAACATTATTAAAATATGGATATTTTTTTAGTTACACAAAACAAGATTGAACTTTTGTCATCCCTTAGTAGTTTTACTTTTTGCTCACATATCATCATGTGATGCAAATGGTTTCTTGAGACGCGAGAATTGTTTTTAAATAACAGTAACATCATAATTGAAAAAAAAAGTAACAAAAACTAGATATGAATAAACATTAAATTAAAGAGCGGTAGTTTTTTAAAAAGTAAAAATGTGTAATAAAGCAATTTCAAAATTGTATATCTTCAAATTAAAAATGATAAAAAAAACTTTAGTGGCTGCAGAGTAGTACTCGATCCGATGCGCTTAGTAAAGAAAAAAACAAAAAAACTGACCAAATAGAAATTTTTATTTCTTTGTTTTGCAATACCTTGTTGGTCAGACCGCCAAATAAATTGTCACGTTTAAATTTTAAGCTTTAAAAAAAAAAAATTTATATTTTCAAAAATGTCTAAGCAAAAACGCTAAAAAAAAAAATGAATCTGCATACTGTGATGTATGATTGAAAACAGTTTTATCGTTATGTTTAGTTTAATTCTTTAAGAGGAAGGATCAAAGTATTTTTTAATAAATTTTTTACTCCTTTTTATAATATTTGAAATTTTGATTAAAAAAAAAATTATTTTTCTTACATCAGCGTTTAGCAAATTTTAGCTCTTTTTTGCGCTAACAGACACATTTTGGAAATTCTTGCAAAAATTAAAATTATTATCGGATTTTAATGAAATTTTCAGAACTTATTCACAAACGAATGGAATTCACTTTGAAACGTTTTTATTAAAAAAATCTTGGTAAAAATATTTTTTTTTTACATGTGTTTCAGCCCCTTAATTTTAAGAAATTTAACGTGATAATTTTTACTAGTGACTAGTTAAAAAGAAGAATTCTTTGAAGAATTCAAATCACAGATTTTTTTTTTTCCAAACTCTGACCACGTCTTACCGAAAATCTGTTCTGAATCGAAAAATAAAAATGCAAAACAAAGACATTAGAAGCCTTTATTAATTGCTTTTAAAGACAATATTGTCTGGAGAAGAAAAAAAATTTTCGGCGAAAAATTAAATTTTACAAGATTTGTTTTAATTTTTTACAATTTTAAATTGAATAATTTAAAGTTTTTAAATCTTTTAAAATTCATTTTCAATGTGATAATTGTTTGGAAATATTGCTTTTAATTAATTTAAAACTAAAAAGCTTATTACAACCTGACGACGACGAATATTTGAAAAAGAATTTTCATTTATTTTTGTATGTGTGATTACATGCAAAATTTCTGAAGTATAGATGTACAAACTGATAAA